GTAAAATACTGAGTTAAAAAATGACAAAGATGTTAGTGAAATCATTTGATGCCTTCTAAGTTCTGAACAACCTCAAGAAAAACGAGAAACAATAAATGTCCGTCAGTTAAGTTTGTGGCAAAAGCTTCTTTTTCCACAACATTGTTAAAATCTTGTCTTGTTCTTGAGCCAATTATCTTGTCCCATCTTTTGACACAAGTGTCTTGTTTCACCTTTGAGAACCACTATAAAACATTTGAGGCTGCATCTGTTTAAAATGGCAGCAACCCACTTTGGCCGTGGCCTTATATGGACTAGCCATTTGCTCATCAACCTGGTCGAAAGAACTAGTGTAACCTTTTCACAGAACTATATTACAACATAACTCATTCCCGTTAAGAGTCAAACATTGTTGCATAACTTCATTTATAATGCACTTTAACTTCCTTCAGTCTAAAAGCTAGTTTTGGAAATATGACTCAGACTGAAAAACTGCAGAGAGGCTAAAAAAAACAGCTAAAATTTCTCCCCTATACACTCATACTTACTTCCTGGATATCCTTACATGGTCAGGCCCAAAATAAGATTATAGAATTCCTTGTTTCTACCCATGCTGAGTTTCTACTGAGCAAACAAAACCTGTAATTAGCCTGGATGTTCACCAGTCTGGGAGTTGGCCACCAAAACCACAGGGCAGGAGTGGGGAGAGATGATTGATGCTTGTTGTGGCACACAGACAGTCAAAATATTTGTTGCCTCTGATGTAACTTAAGTCTTAATGTTGTAACCACACACCTTTTTCATTTGTTTTATTAATTCAACCGAGTAATTGTTAAAGTGATAATAAATCCATACCACTCTTGATTTGTAWAACCACCCCTTTCTTCTGTTTGAAGGGTTTCCCTCTACAGCCTCACACTTAGCCACAGACTCAAGAGGACAATTTTACAGAGTTATAAAGTAAACAAAAGGGAAAACTGAATGCAGCAGTACTCCTAGAAAAAGCTCAAACAAGAGGTCCTCACTTTAACAAATAAACAGTCCTGTTTTCAGAGTTTTATTCTCATCTAAAACTGGTTAACCTTGAGGGTAAACTCCAATCAAGAAGGCTGCCACAGCTAATCGACCTCAGCGACTCAGTCAATGTTTCAGAAACTGAGCTGAATTTTTTTATATC